GAGGTTGTTAACCATTGTCATAGGGCAACATTTGTAGTAACTGTTAAATGAGAAACTATTTTGTTCTGTAAGCCTTCATCTTAACTGAGAATAACTGCACAATTGGAAGAGCATAGTCAATGTCACTGAACTGTGCATGTAGACATTTTTGAAATGGTATATCTTTGGCTATGTGTATTTTCACCAAAAAAAAAAAAGGTTGAGAAGTTAGAGGGTTGACATGTTGTGGGGTTGGTAACCAATGTCATAAACAGTATGTCTACTACTGTTTCATGAGAAACTATCCGTTCTGTAAGCCTTCACCTGAAGTACAATAAAAAAAAAAATTGCATTCAGTTGTTCTATTTGCATCAATCAATTCTCTTCCTCTGTTGTAGTCTAGCTTGCTCTACTGCTTCACTGAAACTCCTCTCGATGGGACCACCAATACCCCAATTATCACTAAATCAATGGGACCACCAATACCGCAGCTATCACTAAATCAATGGGACCACCAATTCCCCAAATATCATTAAATCAGTGGGACCACCAATTCCCCAATTACCGTTAAATCAATGAGACCACCATTTCCCCAACTATCACAAAATCAGTGGGAGCATCAATTCCCCAGCTATCACTAAATCAGTGGCACCACCAATACCCCAATTACCCTTAAATCAATGGGACCACCAGTACCCCAACTATCACTAAATCCAGTGGACATTTAAAGATCTTTTTCATATTGTCTTTCCCTGATTTTCTGGACGTGAGGCACCCTTGATTTTCCTTCTAGCTCTCTGCCTGCTTTTTTCATAGTTTCTTTTGCCAGCTCCTTTTTCCTCAACCTCATTTCTTAAATCTTGGTGTTTCTCAGGCTTCTGTTCTAGGCCTCTCTTTTACTCTATGTAAGCCCCCAGGGCTGTCTCTCCCAATCTTGTGGCTTCAGTTACCCTCCTTCTAAGGCCCATCTGTATCTCTAGATCGGAGCAGCCAGCTGCCTCCTGGACATCTCCACCTGGGTGTCCGCTCAAGTGTGTGCTTTGGAACTGAGCTCCTCATTGTCCCCCTGAACTGCTTCTCCCGGTTTTTCTGTCTCAGTAAATGACACCACTATCCTCACAGTTGTCCCAGCCAGCAACCTGAATGTCATTCTTCATTCCGTTTTTTCGTTACACTTCATGATGCCAATCAATTCTTCTACTTCCTAAATATTTTACAAAGATCCTTCCACTTCTAGCTGTCCCCGGTGCTGCTGTCCTTGTCCAAACCAATTTCTCCAGCTTCAATTATTCACGACAACTTTCCCGTCTTGAGCTTTGCCATCTCCCGGAAGATGCACTGTGCGGCAACAGGAATGTTCCGCAGAGTGCAAACTTCAGTACAGCTCCCTGGCTTGAAGACCTTCAATGCTTCACATTGCCTTAAGATAAGTTTCCAACTCTAACACGAATTAGGACCCCTGGTAGTGCAATGGTTAAGCGTTTCCTCGGGAGAAGGATGTGACAGTCTCCTCCCGTAAAGATTACAGCCTTGGAAACCCTGTGAAACAGTTCTACACTGTTCTATGTAGTGGCTATGAGTCGAAGTTGACTTGATGGCAGTGGGTTCAGTGTTTGGTGTTGTGCTTGGATTTCACTCTCCCTTATCTCTGTATCTTTATCTTTGGCCTCTGTCACACCACACTAAAGCCTTAAAAAATAAACCAAACCCCTTGCCTTCAAGTTGATTCTGACTCATAGCGATCCTATGGGACCTTTTCTCTTTTAATGCTCTTGTATCTCAGACACCTGTGCCTGTACTCTGACTCTGCTTTGAGTCCTTCCACGTGCTGTTGCTTCTTAGCCTGGGTGACTCCTGGTCAGCCTCTGGTCTCAGCTTAAAGTAGTGCTTCCTCTGGAGGCCTGCCTGGAATCTCCAGGTTAGAGTCTACGAGACACTCCGGGAGCTTGGTGTACTTTTCTGTTACATGACTCGTCACACCTTTGTTATGTGGCCCTTTCCTGGCATTCTGTCTGGTGAGCTTCGTGGTCTCTGCTTTCTTTATCCCTGATGCCTGACGCACGTGTGGGCATAGTCACTGTCCTCATGTAAGTACATTTTGTGTTCTTGTTGTGTGATTTCAGAGTGAACTTGTTTTTCTCTTCAGTGTCTGAACGAGATCCTGGAGTCAGGAGATGCACCGTTGGAAGTCACTGAAGGATTCATCCAGTCCATCTCCCTGTCAGTCCCGTGGGGCTCCCTGCTGCAGGATAACTGTGCCCTGGAAGTAAAAGGCTTAGAAATGGTCTTCCGCCCTAGACCTCGCCTAGGTGGGTGTGTCGTATGTCCGTGTTGTATTTGTTTCTACTTTTATTCTCCCGAGACCGAGCAAGTGACACATGTGCATTAACTTCCATATGACTGATTGTGTTGTATTTGTGAGATTCTCAATCAATGAAATATTAGGACTTGGGCCTATATAGGGTGTGTGTGATTGTACTTTGAGAGTTGTTTCTTTTCCTATTTACTCATGAGAGCTTAAGCATACAGATTATTTGATTTACTTAATTGTCATTTACCTGTTATCTAAAGTGACTTGTGTTTTAAAGATTCAAAGCCTTATGCCAGAATGCAAGGAGGTGCTTGAATATGGACAGAAACATGTAAGAAGGGTGCAGGAGTGGGCTTCAGGAGGCTGCCCTTGGCCCGCTGTGGGAATATTTGAGCATCAGAAAGAACAATGACGATAATAGGCTATAACACGTCAAATAAAAACAATCCTCAAGTCCATGCTGATACAAATAAACAAGTGTGCAAGGGGCTGGGGAGAAGGGAAAGCTCTTGATTCCAGTCGGGTACCTGCTTACGAAAGCAGGAGGAATGATAGAACTGGAAAATCACCATGTCTCAGCCACCATCGTAAAAGCTGACACAGGCAAGAGTCCTCAATGGATGCTAATACCATTTGGTGAAAGGCTGCTGAGGAGCATAATATTTCAGACAGCATGAGAGTGTCTCTCACCAATCACTTATTATTTACAAAGAGGAAAAAAGGCTCCTTTGCAGTGGAGAAATTTGGCAGTCACCACCAAACGTAACCTGGTCAGTAGTGGGTCAAACCAGCATCGTGAAGGATACAACGTTATGTCTGCACGGTTCCTGCCCAGAGTGCATAATCTGAATCAGATCATGAGCAGGCCGTCGGCAAATGCAAGATAAGGAAATTGTACAAACTCACGGCTCGTCCTCTGCGCTGGTCACGGCAGCGTCAGTGTCATGGAGGTTAAAGGAGGGCTGAGGGACTGTCTGGACTCACAGAGACAGAGAGGAGTACAAAGTGCAGAACAAGAGCCCGTGTGTGTGAGTGTGTGTGTGTGTGCACGCGTGTGTGCGCACGCACGCGTGTGTGTGCATGTTTGCTCTGAAGGGTACTGTCAGGGCAACTAGAGAAATCTGGAAATGGAATGTATATGAGACATTATTCTGGTGTCAATGTTAGGTTTCTTGGCGGTGATAATGGTATAGAGCTTATGCAAGAGTGTTCTTGTTTTGGGAGTTAACATGCTGGAGTACCATTTCTGTATGAGTGTCATGATCCTACAACTTACCTGCAAATGGTTCAGCAGAAGTGTGTGTGTGCATGTGTGTGTACAGTGTTGGTGAATCTAGATGAAGGGTGTGTAGGTGTTCATTGTTCCATTCTTTCATCTCTTCTGTAGGACTGAATAAGTTCGAAAGAACACTTCTGCAGGGAAAAGCTTTAAAGTAGTAGTCGTTGTTCACAAGTGCGTGCATGTGGTAGCTTTAATTATGTATATGGTATTTTCTGGTTGGTTTGTCAAACGTGTCTCTGGTGCGTGTTGAGTACCAGACACCGTCCTAAGTGCTCTACAAGTGTCGACTCGTTTAACCCTCACAGTAGCTCTTGAAGTGGATACTGATTTTCTATCCCCATTTCACACAACAGCAAACTGAGTGCAGGTAGGTTTCATAGCTTGCCCAAAGTCATAGCTACTTGAGTGGAAAAGGTGGGATCTGAACCCAGACAGTCTCGTTCTAGTCTGTGTTCTTAATCACGATGCTATATTGCCTCTCAGATGTTCTTCTGTGGAGTGTGTGTGTGTGTGTTTGTGTCTGTGTGTGTGTTTTATAAACCGGCAAATTTATGATGGTAAATCATTTTACATTCCAAACTTAAATTCTTTTTTCCAATGACAAGTGATATTTGTAAAGATATACTTGAAGAATTATTATTCCAATTGCTACCTGAAACCCTGAAATTAAAATTATGTTTAGTAGACTTATGGTGACCTGTACGGTATTTTGAAAATTGGTCATCTGTGCATGGAAATCCTTGTTACTAAGCTGATATTTAATTAAGAAGAATATTCTGTCTTTTAACCGTGGTGAGTAGTTAACAATACCTCCCTGTGGAAAGTCATACTTAAGAATATTTCCCCCTCACTTTGTCAGTGTCCCACTGAGAGTGTTTCCAGATTCCATCTGGGAGGGATCATTCTGTTCAGTCCTGCCAGTGTGTTTTGAGTAGTGTAAGGAGGTGTGGTGGATTTAATAATTCAATCTCAAGAGTAATTTCTAAAATATTTTGTCCTTCAGTAACACCAGGATGTTAAAAACTTCACTGAGGGATTAAGAGTTTATCTATTTGAAATGTGTTCTTTTAAGAAATGTCTTTGTTGTAACTTCGGAAAAATTATTTAGGATCAATCTATTTATTTCCTGCAGCAACTGGTTCTGAGCCTATGTACTGGTCGAGTTTCATGACCAGCAGTATGCAACTGGCAAAAGAGTGTCTTAGCCAGAAACTAACAGATGAACAAGGAGAAGGAACTCAGCCTTTTGAAGGACTTGAAAAGTTTGCTGAAACCATTGAAACAGGTTTGATACTATTGAGCATTTTCGAAACTTTTAGATTTGCTAGTACCTTTATTCAGTAAGCCTTGTATAAGGCAGATCCACTGGAGTGATTTTTAAAAGAATTACTGTTCTCACTTGGAACTTTAGAATTCAAGTTAAATTTAAATATCGTACTCAATTTAATTGCATATTATTGTTTGTGTACTTGTTCGGTCCCCTAGTTTCTCCTTCTTTGTTTATTATACGTGCATAATGGAGGGATTAGAGCTCAGAGATAGCGTTAGTCAGTGCCACCAGTGTCTGCTGAGGTGACACGCGGTAAGTGCTCAGTAAATGCAAGATATTCATTATCAAACTCAGGATTTGGGGGTTTTACAGGAAAGAGATTCAGCTTCTTTCTAAGTTCTTGTCAGACTCATTTAGCGTTTATTCCTTTAGTTAGAAGTTTTTATTCAATGTGTGTATGGTTGACTGTGACCTGTTCACCTTAGTACTAAGAAGAGTAAAAGTCACTTTTATAGACACTGTTTTGAGAATTGAACACGTACCAGGAAATTCCCAAACTGGAACTGCGCTTGAAATTCGCATAGAAAGGTAAGACTTCTTGTATCTGAAAGCAAATTACTATTATTTTATTTTATAAATAATAAAATCTAACTGTTACGTTAGATGTCAGGATGCTTTTGCTGATTAGAGGTGATGATATTAATTTATTGCATAATTTCATAGTAAAGTACTACTTTCCAAATTATGTTCCAGTCCCATTATTGAAAAATTAAAAGTGCCAGTTGGGGTGTAATTAAGAGTTTACTGCATTCAATTCAAAGCAAGTAATGCTTTCTTAGTTAATGTCAAATCAGAATGAAAGTATTTGAATGCTGCTAACTTTAAGGCTCTCCTGCTGGAGAGTGTCAGCATTTAGGCGTGTTTCACTAGCATGAGGGGCGTGTTTGCTTGGCTGTGCTTAATCTAAGTGTTGCTTTAGTGAGAAAGACTAAGGCCACTGTTTCTTTTGAGGATTTTGGGAGGGTATTTTAAGGTCAATGTGTGCAACGTGTGATCTACTTAGAAAGACAAACTTTGCTTCTAGTTTGCCCCCCTGGAGCACCTATAAACGTCTCTAAAGCAGAGATTAATTTACACAAACACAAGTGTTGATGGGAGATAGTAACTGTTCATCTGGGTTTTCAGGCTGCATGAATTACCTACAGAAATAAGCAGAGTGAAATATGTACACTGAGCACCAAAGACACTTTGTGTACGTATCTACTCGGGGCCTTTTCCAAATCTTCAGCAGATAAGTTTTGAAACATGAATTGGTTTCTGTCTTTTTAAACAAAACTTCTATTAGTGAAACAATTATTGTCGACAGATTTTTGAAACGTGGCTGCATTACCTTAAATGCTATATAAAAATATCTAAAATCTCATGCAGCTAGAAACACTTCTGTATTTTGTTTAAGATGAAAAATAGACATAAGAACACAAGAAATGTCCTTCATGGCCGATGAGACTTGGTGCCATATGCCATCCACTGTTAGCCAAGAGATGTGTTGTGAGGGAGCTTACTTGTTTGTTTTTCTTGAAGCTTACTTTAGGAAGTGGTTAATTTTTCCCCAAATTGAAGAGCCTCATAAAGTTATCTTTTTGGGGGTTAAGTTTTCTTCATGAAAATACTTCCTGTAGTAAGGCATGGTGATGCTGACCCACATTAAGGGCATATTCTGAGGGTGCTAACACCTTGAAAGTCCTGTAATTTAAAGCATCGTGTGTGTGTTTATAACTGCAAATAGATTTTCCCAGGAGTTTTATGCGGTTGCCTTTCTGTTGCTTTCTGCTCTCAGAACTGTTTACCATGATGAAACCGCGGATGATACCTCCGGAATGAATGTGCACCAGCCCACAGCTTTTGCTCACAAGTTACTTCAGCTCTCTGGGGTGTCTCTCTTCTGGGATGAGTTTCCTGCATCAGCAAAATCATCCCCAGTGTATTCAACTGCACCAACGGTAAGAAAAAGAAACAAATTTAAAACCCCCAAAATTAAATCATAGATTCTTAAAACAGTTTAAATGAGGGCTATTACATTTCCTAGGATACGGAACGTGAGTCTCCATCCGGTTTGAGCGCTAACACAGATTTCAGCAGTGGGGACATACATTTGAGAGATTTTAACACACTTATTTTTATAATTAATGCCTTTCCTACCAGTTTGCTGTGTATGAATTTGATAGGGAAACCTTGGATTCTGTGTCTTGAGGGAAAATGGTCTGTAAACATCTGATATCCTTTTACAAAAGCACAATTGAGGAGTCAAGCAGTGTGTACGCTTACCTTTACATAGTTAATGTATTACTGAAAGTTTAGCTTGCAAATCGTATCTTGAAAAAGCTTTATAATTAAGGGACTCTGTATTAATCACTTCTAAGAGCACAGAATCCTTTATAAATCAGTTCCTCCTCTATCTACCTCTTATGTTATTTCACAAATCAGGCTTCCTTCCTTACAGAACGCCTGTGAAGTTTGTACACGAAGCCCTCTTCCGCGGTTTGCCTTCATTACAATATACTCTACTGATCTCAGGAGCCCTGGTGACGCAGTGGTTAAAGCAATCAACTGCTAACCGAGAGGTCAGCAGTTCAAAACTACCAGTGGCTCTGCAGGAGACGGATGTAGCAGTCTGCTTCTGTGGAGATTGACAGCCTTGGAAACCCTGCGGGGTTGCTATGAGTGGGAATCAACTCCACAGCAGTGGGTGTTTTGGTTCACACTCACATGCTGCTGTGTTTGTCCTAGTAACGAGATACTCTTTATCTGCTGGAATATAATTCAGTTTATGTGTCAGGTGTGTTGTTCTTCTTAAGTTGACATTTATATTTTGCGTTTAGGTTTACTGACATTAAGGTCTTTTAAATTGCATTATTGTAGGAAACTGAGCCAAAGCTGTCGCCTAGCTGGAACCCTAAAATTGTTTATGAGCCACACCCACAACTAACTAGAACTTTACCAGAGGTAGCACCATCTGACCCAGTGCAGATTGGAGGGTTGATGGGTAGGTTGGAGTTGAGTCTCACGTTGAAACAGAATGAAGTACTTCCTGGAGCAAAGGTCAGTATTCGTTTTATTTTCTACAGTAAAAGCCGCAGTATTCTTGAGTCTGTGCAGTGACCCAGTGATTGAGTGCTGTGGATTTTCCCATCACTAGGCGCCGTGCTGTCTCTGAGTCAGTGTGTTTCCCCCCAGCTGGTACCCTGTCCTTACGGGAGACAGTCTGTGCGGGGGCTGCTTCTGCCAGCCTGCTGCAGCTCTGGCTGTAGAGCCACCCCCACAACCGCTCACCTGCATCCTGCGGTTCCAAGCAGGGACACCCGCTCACTGCCATCCTGCTGTTCCAAACTGCTCACCTCCATCCTGTGGTTCCAAACAGGGACACCCGCTCACCGCCATCCTGCGGTTCCAAACCACTCACCTCCATCCTGCGGTTCCAAACAGGAAAACGGGCTCACCTCCATCCTGCAATTCCAAACCCCTCACCTCCATCCTGCGGTTCCAAACGGGGACACCTGCTTACCTCCATCCTGCAGTTCCAAACCCCTCACCTCCATCCTGCAATTCCAAACAGGGACGCCCGCTCACCTCCATCCTGCGATTCCAAACAGGGACACCCACTCACCTCCATCCTGCGGTTCCAAACAGGGACACCCTCTTTTGTAGTAGGCAGGACTTCATTAGTTCAGATAACTAGGAATTCACTCAGTAATCTCTTTCTAATGTCATAAAAGTTGAAAGTTTAAAGCAGAAGAGATTTGGAAAGCAGGAAGTTGACCGCATGACTGCAAAAGATGTTTAGCTATATAAATGTTAAATCATTTACCCGTGCGTGTGTTGAATGGAATGATAATAATATTTATGAAAAGAAATTGATTTTTTTATGATGTCCCACAGCTTTTTTTTTTTTCCTTCACTGTGTTTTCAGTGAAAGTTTACACAGCAGTTTAGGTTCCCATTGAACAGTTTCTATACAAATTGTTCAGTGACTTTGGTTACGTTCTTCACAACATGTGAACATTCTCAATATTTCCGCTTTGGTCGTTCCATTTCCATTAATCTAGTTTCCCTGCCCTCCCATAGCCTTTTGAAGACACTGTATAAACAGAAAGACAATTGTACTTGTTTCTCAGGAAGCAATATTGAATGCTCTGTTGGAGAATCAGTAAGCTTGCGTTTATTTAGTCATTTACGATGGTTTGTCAAGTGCTGTTTTCTTACATTGAAAACTAATTATCTGTTTGATCTCTGTGAAATGTAGTTTAAATGAAGATGGTATCAGGGTTTATTCATTTACTTATTTACGAATCTACCTAGCTGTGTATGTTTGAGTGACTACTATATGCTAGGCCCTGTACAAGTTGTTGGGACTGATAAACAGAGATGAATGGAATACAATCTGCTTTAAAAAATATACAATAAGAGGTATAGAATTGCTATGGGAACAGGGAGAGGGAGCCACTAAACATACATGAACAAAGATAAAAGTTTTTCGGAGGATAGAAGGGTCCCCAGAAACCCTTCCTTGGACTGGGCCTGGCTGGCATTGGAGGAGGAGGAGGGGGACTAGAAGGACGACATCCCTGTCACTGTTCACCCTCCCCCTCGTTACTCTCTGTCCTATCTCAGATGGTCCGAAAGCCTCTTCAGAGACTAACATGAGGGGGTTGTGAATAGAGCAGAGAGCCACAGGCACGCCTAGACAGCGCAGTCACGCGTAGACAGCGCAGGCGCGCGTATGCACCGCGGGTACGCGTAGACAGCGCAGGCGCGCGTATGCACCGCGGGTACGCGTAGACAGCGCAGATACGGGTAGGCACCGCAGGTATGCGTAGACAGCACAGGTACCCAAAGACACCGCAGGTACGCCTAAGTACAGGTAAACACCACAGGGAGTCCGTGCCATGGTATCATCCTTGGGAAGCGGAATACATTTGTGTCTTTGGGGAGTGCATTTGCTGTTTCTTTAAAAGGGAAGAACCATAGCAATAACTTTGATAGTTCTGTTTTGGTTAATTATAGATAGTCCTCAACATTTGTGTGTTTGATCTTTGTGCAATTATGTATTGATTGGTATAAAGGGCTTTTATGTGCTACTTTTGGGCTTCTGTGTACCAGCTGACAAATGAACATCTCAAACCAGTGCCTGGTGGCATTGTCTGCCAGCCAGTATTCAGTATTCGGAGATACTGCTGTTCTTGCTTATACAGTAATTCTTGTGCAATATCTTGAGTATTTGAGCGCATTTTGTTCTTACATAATGGAAATGAGAGCTAAATGGAAAAGAAAGGTTCTGGGTGTTATTAGCACTGAGAAACATAGGTCTCACAAACTTCTTCCACTATAGACAAGGATGGATTAATTAGGGTGCTCAACGGGTCAGGCCTGTAGCCTCTGTCTCATGTTCACTGTGGATGCAAAGTGTTACGAAAGATTTGATGTTTTCTTTTCATTTCCCTAAAATGGTATTCGCTTTGAGTGGTGTGTAAGTCTGGTGTTTCACATACTCACTTTTGGCATGTTTTCGGAAATAGTTTATGTATGAAGACCTAGGACTACCTCTACTGACTATAGAGATTCTTTGTTTCAGTTGCTATGTTACCTTGAGTTTGAAATGTATTTTAGCGTATGTTTTCAGGATTGCATTATAGACGAAAACACAGGACTGCTGGTACCGACCAGAGACTTTGTTTTAGTTGCTATGTTACCTTGACTTTGAAATGTATTTTAGTTGCTATGTTCTTTCATATTTCCAAAATCAAGTGTTATATGCTTTGTTCTTTGTATGCCAAACTCAGAATGTGCATACAGTGAAATATTTCTATGAAAATTAGAAATAAAATACAGTCAACTCTTGATCATCCATTCTAACAGAGGTCAGAGATTGTACTTTTCAATACTAGGAAATTAAAACAGTTTGTAAAGATGGCATATAATCAGGACACATTTTCCCACTGTCCCCAGCCTTAACTTATTGGCCTGGGATGTCAGCAGTCGGTAAGGAGCCCCCTAAATAAGCCATCCATGGACAGAACAGGGGAGCCACGCCATGGAAGCAGGGAGGGCTTGCCATCTGGACCTGCCTAGGTTCAAATCCTGGCTCCTGATCATGGCCATGTACAAATCACTTAATCTTTATGAACCTGTCTCCTCTTCTGTAAAACAGGAACACTAGTAAGAATTACATAGATGAAATATATATAAAGAACTGAGCATAGTCCCCCAATTAAAAAGAGTGATGATAGTTATTATTATTATTGGAGAACGTATTATAGTTAGTTAGATCGTGGAAATTTCTCAAAATCCCTGTGTGGCTTATTTTATTTTGTGTTTTTAGAATTTAAGGAATTTGTTTTTCCTCTGAGAAGAAGCCATTTCTAATATAAATGTGTTTTATTAATTGAATTATTTTTAAATTGCAAAATGGCATAGAGACAATAGGAGTCAGTGTTGGCACATTACAGCTAAAAGCAGAGGAGGAAAAAGTAAGGAGCCCAAGACTAAACAATCATACTTTTATATTTCAGTACATTAAAATATACTGGCATTTATAGTGTGGCGAGAGTATAAAGAGTATTAATCCTGAACAGTGTTTTTTTCCTTTGAAGTTGGATGTTGATGGACAGATAGACGCTATTCATTTATTCCTGTCGCCAAGACAGGTGCACTTGCTTTTGGACTTGCTAGCAGCCATTGCTGGACCAGGCAAGTATAACACTGGTATCATTATTATTTTTAATTCTTTACAATTTTTTTTACTGTGGTAAACAAATGTATATGTAACAAACCATTTGCCCTGTCAGTATTTCTAACGTGTATGGTTCCATGGCATTGATTATGTTCATCATACTGTGCAGCCGTAACCACTGTCTGTTTTCATATTTTTCCATCCCGCTAAACAGAGGCTCTGTGCCCGCTAACCAGTGACTTCCCCTTTCCCTGGTAACCACTCATCTACTCTTGTTTCTGTGCATTTTGTCTATTCTAGATCTTTCATGTAAGTAGGATCATGCAATATTTGTCCTTTTGTGATTGACTTTATTTCACTCAGTATGATGTTTTCAAGGTTAATTTATGTTGCACTATGTATCAGGACTTCATTTCTCTTTATGGCTGAGTAATATTCCATTGCAATACTATGTACCATATTTTATTTATCCATTCATCTGTTGATTGACATTTCGATTATTTCCACCTTTTGGCTACTGTGAATAATAGTGATGCAATGAACATTGGTGTACAAGAATCTGTTTGTGCTCCTGCTTTCATTTCTTTTGGGTACATACCTAGGAGTGGAATTGCTGAGTCATATGGTAATTTTGTGTTTAACTTTCTAAAGAACTGCCAAACTGTTTTCCACAGCAGCTGTGCCATTTTACCATTCCACCTTCAATGGTTCCAATCTCTACATTCCAGCCAATGCCTGTTGTTTTCCTTTTTTTGATCATGGTTATCTTAGTGGGGGTGAAGTGAGAGCTCATTATGGTTTTCATTTGCATGTCCCTAATGACTAATTACCTTGAGCATCTTTTCATGTGCTTGTTGACCATCTGTATTTCTTTTTTGCTGAACTGTCTGTTGAAGTACTATGCCCAATTTTTGATTGGGTGGTTTGTCTTTCTGTTGTTAAGTTGTAGGCGTTCCTTTATATATCCTAGATATTAACCCTTTTTAGATATATGGTGTCTTACGCTGGATTCTCTAGAGAAGCAAAACCAGCAAAGTGTATAAATATATCTAGAGAGAGATTTATATCAAGGAAACGGCTCACGCGATTGTAGAGGCTGGAACGTCCCAAGTTTGTGGATCAGGATAGAGGCTTCTCTCGGTTCACATAGCCACAGGGGCTTTCGAACCCAAAATTGGCAGGTCGGAGAGTAGGGCTCTTGCTCACAGGCTGTGAAGATTGACGAATCCCAAGATCAGCTGATACGTTGATAGCTGAAGTCTCAAGAACCGGAGGTCAGATGAACAGGAGGCAGCTGCAGGCTCCAGAGCAAGCAAAAAGCCAGAACATCTGCTTATATTTGGATGCAGGCCACACCTCTGAGGAAGCTCCCTTTCAACTGATTGGCTACTCACAGCAGATTCCATCATGGGAGTGATTACATAAGAACATTGAGCATCATGGCCCAGCCAAGTCAACACACAATCTTAACCATCACAGTCCACCCCTTGTCAACTTGGCACATGTACACATCTCCTTAAACCATACATAATCTCTGAATAAAGACAGTTATAAAGTTGTACTTGCACTTAACATGATACAACTAACATGCGTACAAACTGAAAACTCACTAGCACCGTTTACATCTTATATTTTATAAGTGACGAAAACAGAAATATTTGATGCAGACATACAAAGCAGAAATACTCATAACAATTACAGTCTACGTATCCCTAGGTGATTCCTTCTTGTAGCAAGGCGGGGACTCTCTGGGTCAGAGAGCTCCAAAAAGCAGCAACACCTTAGGGTCTTTATAACCACAGGGCTTATCTTATCTAGGGTGAGCAGATGTTGGGTGCAGTTTTGTGTAGTATGTAAAGCAGACGAGTCCTAAGTGGCTAAAACTGTGCTTATTTGGGCTATTTTTAAAACAATTGAACGTGCACAATTTTAAGTTTGGCACCAGTGGGCCCTTTGGGCTGATGGGCCTCACCTTGCTATGAAGAAGCAAACAACCTGGGGTCAATACACAGAGGCCATTTTTAACTCATTTATACTTTGCTGATAAAGTGCTTTGATGAACAACATTTTCATTCTAGTGAAGTCCCTTTCATCTGTTTTGTCTTTTGCTGCTTGTGACTGCAATGTCATATCTGACAATCCATTGTTAAAAACTAGGTCTTGAAGCGTTATCCCTATATTTTCTTGTAAGAGTTTTATGGTTTTCGTTCTTACATTTAGGTCTCAGATCCATTTTTAGTTAGTTTTCATATATGGTGTGAGCTCTGGGTCCAGGTTCATTCTTTTGTTCGTGGAAATCCATTTTTCCTAGCACCGTTTATTAAAGAGGCTGTTCTTTCCCCATTAAATGGACTTAGCATCCTTGTCAAAAATTAATTAACCTTAAATATATGGGTTTATTTCTGGACTCCCAATTCTGTTCCACTGGTCTAGATGTCTATTATACCAGTACCAAGCTATTTTGATTATTGTGGCTTTATTATATGCTTTGAGATTGGGAAGTGTGAGTCGTCCTACTTTGTTCTTTTTCAAGATTGCTTTGACTATCCTGGGCCCCTTGTGGTTCCATGTAAATTTGAGAATTGGCTTTTCCACTTCTGCAAAGAAGGCTGTTAGAATTTTGATGAGTATTGCATCAAATCTATAGGGTGCTTTGGGTAGTATTGACATTATAAAGTCTTCTGTATCAATAAACATGGTTTGTCCTTCCATTTATTTTATTTATTTCAATTCCTTTCCATAATGTTTTGTAGTTTTCAGTGTATGAGTCTTTCACTTCCTTGGTTAACTTTATTCCTAGGTATTATGTTCTTTTAGATGTTATTGTAAATGGTAACATTTCCTTAATTTCCTCTTCAAAATGCTCATTGCTAATGGATAGAAACTGGACTAATTTTCGTGTGTTGACCTTGTATCTTGCTACTTTGCTGAATTCATTTATTAGCTCTGGTAGCTTTCTTGTGGATTCTTTGAGTTTTTCTATATATAGAATCATGTCATCTGCGAATAGAGATAGTCTTATTTCTTCCTTCCCAATTTGGATACCTGTTTGTTTCCCCCCTTGCCTAATTGCTCTGGCTAGAGCTTCCAGTACAATATTGAATAGCAGTGGTGAGAGGAGGCATCCTTGGCTTGTTCCAGATCTCAAGGGGAAAGTGCTCAGTCTTCTCCCCTTGAGTATGATGTTATCTGTGGGTTTCTCATAAATGTGCTTTACCTGATTGAGGAATTTCCCTTCTATTCCTAGCTTGTTGAGTGTTTTTTTATCATGAAAGGGTGTTAGATTTTGTCAAAGCCTATTCTGTATCAATTGAGGTGATTATATGGTTCTTTTCCTTTATTAATGTGGTATATTACATTGATTTTTCTAATGTTGAACCTCCTTTGCCTTCCTGGGATAAACCCCTTTTGATCATGGTGTATAGTTCGTTTAATATGCTTTTAGATTTGGTTTGCTAGTGTTTTGTTGAAAATTTTTGCATCTGTATTCACAAGGGATATTGATCTATAGTTTTCTTTCCTTGTGGTTTCTTTGTCTAGCTTTGGTATCACAGAAATGCTAACCTCATAGAATGAGTGAGGAAGTATTCCCTCCTCTTCTGTCTTTTGGAAGAGTTTAAGGTAGATTGGAGTCACTTCTTCTATAAATGTTTGGTACAATTCTCCAGTGATGCCATATGGTCCGGGGCTTTTCTTTGTTGGGAGGTTTTTGATTGCTGATTCAATCTCTTCATTTGTTGTTATGGCTTGAATGGTGTCCCCCCCCTCCCCCCACCTCCCCGCAAATATGTTTATAGGGGTTACACACTCTGACCCCTATACTTGGGGATGTAATCCTGTTTGGAAATAGGATTTCTTTGTTATGTTAATTAGTTCACACTTAAATAGTCATGCTATTGTTGTTGGGTGCTGTGGAGTCAAATCGGATTCATAGTGACCCCACGTGACAAAGTAGAACTGCTCCATAGGATTTTCTTGGCTGTAGTCTTTATGGAAGCAGATTGCCAGGTCTTCCTCCTGTGCATCCCCCGGGTGAGTTCAAACCATCAACCTTTAGGTTCTCAGCTGGCCTCTTAACTGTTGCACCACCAAAGCTCCTTCACCTGAGTAGGGTAGGTTCTAAATCTAATCACTTCTGAGTCATAAAAAGCACAGAATAGACACAGAGGCACACACACACAGGGAAAGACAGATGGCACGTGAGAGTCATCTGCAACCAACGAACCAAGGATCACCAGCAGACACCAGAAACTAGGAGAGAGGCTCACAGAAGGAATGGACTCGGCTGAGACCCTGATTTGGACCTTTAGCCTCCAGGACTATGAGAAAATAAATGTCTATACTTTAAAGCCACTCCCTTGTGGTATTTCTGTTATGACAGCACTAGGGAACTAAGACACTTGTTACAGGTTTGTTGACATCTGCTTATTCTTGAGTCAGTGTAGGAAGTTAGGTGTTTCTAGGAATTTGTCCATTCCATCTAGGCTAGAATTTGTTGGCGCACAATTGTTCATATTATTATCTTACCCTTTTTATTTCTGTAGGGTTGGTTGCACTGTCCCCACTTTTATTTCTGATTTTAGGTGTTCGTGTTTTCTTTTTTTCTTTTTCAGTCCAGCTAAAATTTGCCGATTTTATTGATCTTTTCAAAAAACCAGCTCGTGTTCTCACTGATTCTATTGTTTTCTATCCTCCGTTTCCTTTATTTCCATTCTGATCTTTCTTATTCACTGCCTTGTGGTAGCTTTGGGCTTGGTTGCTCTTTTTTTCTAGTTCCTCAGCTTATAAAGTTAGGTTATTGCTTTGAGATCTTCTTTTTTAATGTAGGTGTTTACTGCTATAAAATTCCCTCTGAGCACTGCTTTGGCTGCATTCCATAAGTTTTGGTATGTTGTGCTTTCATTTTCATTCGACTCTAAGTATTTTCTGATTTTGCTCTTGATTTTTTCCTTGACCCATTTGTTGTTTAACAATATGTTGTTTAATTTCCACATATTTGTGTATTTTCCAGTTTTCCTTCTGTTATTAATTTCTAATTCCACTCTGTTGTGGTTGGAGAAGATACTTGGTGGGATTCCAGTCTTTTTAACTTTTTTGAGACTTGCTTTGTGACCTGCTATAAGGCCTATTCTGGAGAATGATCCATGTGCACTGGAAGAGAATGTATATTGTGCTGTTATTGGGTGGAATGTTTGTCTTAGGCTGGGTTCTCTAGAGAAGCAAAACCAGTAAAGCATATAAATATATGTAAAGAGAGATTTATATCAAGGAAATTGTTCACGCAGTTGTCGAGGCTAGAACGTCCCAAGTCCATAGGTCAGGATAGTGGCTTCTCCTGATTCACGTTGCTGCAGGAGCTGGCGAACCCAAGATCAGCAGGTCAGAGAGCAGGGCTCTTGCTCACAGGCTTCGAAGACTGATGAATCCCAAGACTGGCAGGCAAGACCTCAGGTAAGCTGCTAGCACAAGTCCCAAGAACCAGAGGTCAGACCAACAGGAGCCAGCTGCAGGATCCAGCGCGAGCAAAAAGCCCCCCAGCCTTCCCAGAGTGTCCACTTATATTTGATACAGGCCACACGCCCAAGGAAACTCCCTTTCAACTGATTGGCTGCTCAGAGCAGATCCCATCATGGAGGTGATCACAACATCGTACTACTGCCAAACCACTGAGAATCATGGCCCAGCCAAGCTGACACACAACCTTAACCAACACAGTCTTCTACATATCACATGTGTCCGTTAGGTCTAGTTGGTTTATAGCGTCGTTTAGGCTCTCTATTTACTTATTGATCTTCTTTCTAGATTTTTGTCCATTATTGAGAGTGATGTATTGAAGTCTCTGACTATGATTGTAGCATTGTCTATTTCTCCCTGCACGTCTATCGGTGTTTGCTTTATATATTTTGGGGCTCTGAAGTTAGGTGTATATATGTTTATAATTGTTGTATCTTCTTAATGAATTGACTCTTTTATCATTATATACTGTCTTTCTTATTCTCTTATAACAGATTTTGACTTAAAGTCTTTTTTGTCTGCTCTTAAAATCATCATCCCAGCTCTCTTTTGGTTACTATTTGCATGAAATATATTTTTCCATCCTTTTGCTTTCAAACTATTTGTGTCCTTGGGCCAAAGATGTATCTTTTGTAAACTGCGTATAGTTGGATCTTTTTTTTTAGTCCATTGTGTCAGTCTGTCTTTGATTGGAATGGTTAGTCCAGTTACATCATTTGTGGTAATAACCGATGAGGAAGAACTTACTTCTGCCATTTTGTTGTTTGTTTTTTGTGTGTCTTACACATTCTTTGCCCCTCATTTCATCCAGTGCTGCCAACTTTTGTGTTTGTTGATTTTTTGTAGTGAACCATTTTGATTCCTTTATCCTTTTGTATGTGTTTTTAAGATATTTTCTTTGTGGTTATCATGGGAATTACATTTAATATCCTACATTTTTACAACCTGGCTTAAATTGATACCAACCTAACTTCAGTAACGTACAATAACTCTATTCCCATCCTGTTTCTCCCCTCTCTCCTTTTATGTTGTTATCAACCATTGCATCTTTATATATCATGTACCTTGTAACATAAATTTATATTTGTTATGCATTTGTCATTATAAAGAATGAAGGACATGACAACTAGAATTAACCACCAAAACCAAACCCACTGCCGTCCAGTTGATTCCGACTTATTGCAACCCTATAGGATAGAGTAGAACTGCCCCATAGGGTTTCCAAGACTGTAATCTTCACAGAAGCAGACTGCCACATCTTTCTCCCATGGAGCAGCTGGTGGATTCAAACTGCCGACCTTTCAGTTAGCAGCTGAGCACTTTAACCACTGCCCCACCAGGGCTCCTACAACTAGAATTACCAACCAGAAATACTTTAAAACTTGCCCTTATACTTGCCCATCAATTACCTTTAATGGAGATCTTTTTCTGTATGTGCAGTTTCTTTCTAATGTCCTTTCTTTCCCACCCTAAGGACTTCTGTTAGTATTGCTTGCAGGACAGGTCAAGTGATTATGAACTCTCTCAGAATATATACCCTGAACAGTCCGCTAGTAGGAGCTGTCCTGTTTATTTTGGAGCCAGAGATCAGGCTCTTCGGAGTGCTCAGGAGAACCATGTGTTGGCTGGAGGTACAGCTGCCATTGCTGTGCTGGGAGGAAAAGAGTAGGGACAGTGAAGAGGTGCTTTTCCTACCGTACGAGATTCATCAATGTGTTGATTCAGTTTGCAAGTTCTTTGCCCACCTTTTCAGAGTTGTCACAGGGCTGAGTAGACTTCTAGTTGCTTTTCTTGGTGTTCCTGTGGAGAGAGCCAGGATCTTAAACCTGCTCACGCTGTCGTCTTCCCAGAATTGTCTTTAAAACTTTTTAATCAAAATATATAACCTACATATAGGAAAGCCTATTATTTTCAAGAGTGTGACATTAATAAAGATGTACAGTAAGTCCCCAGGTGACTAACATCCGACTTAGAGACAACTCGAATTTACTGTTTAATGTTATGTAAATTTGCCCTCACTGTGAAACGATTGAACCAGCCCCTACTTGGAGCACATTCTTCATCACAATCACCTTCCCTTGCTGCACTTGCAGCTTTTAATCACTGAAAAGTCTTCAAGACTTTTCTTGCACTAAAGTTAGGCTAAATAAGAACCATATGTGCATACCTGTTCTGATTTACCTACAAATTCTTAAAGACATGTTTACAAACGTGTCTGGTTCATAACCCAGGGATTGCCTGTATTGTAAATAAGAATTCTAAATTGTTAAATTTGACTAGGTCTTCTGAATTGTGTTACCATGGCATGAATTAGCCTTCAGTGCTGTGTTAATGTGTGTCACTTTCTTGGCTTGTAAAAAATGGTCTGGTGACTTCTTCGGTTGGGGATAGTACTTCACGTGATTGAGAATGCTTAATTCTTGAACACAGTAAGTAACCCAGATTTTAATATATGTTCAATGACTCATCTATCAGAGGTAGGATTTTATGATTCTTGGCTAGTTGCTTAAAGCTTACATCTCTGATTAAGTAGTGGTGGTTTTGCACCAACTGGTATTCAGTTACCATTGGTAGAGGACAAATGGATTTAGGGGAGAGAACTGATCAAGTAACTCCAAGTTTAATTACTTTTTGCTTTCCTTTTGTAAACTTGTAGAAAATTCTAGCAAAATAGGATTGTCTAACAAAGATAGAAAAAATCGACCCATGCAGCAAGAAGACGAGTATCGAGTTCAGATGGAGTTACACCGGTATTATTTAAGAAAAGACTCCCTCGATGTGGGCGTATCTTCAGAGCAGAGCTTTTATGAGACAGAAGCAGCGCGTACACCTTCTAGCCGTGGTAAGAACTCAGTTTCTGCCAGAATCATACATTATCATTGTAGAGCAAAGTAAACTGAATTTTTGGCTGCTGTGAAATAGAGTTTAGTGATGAAAGAACTAAGAGATCCATACTGTAAGAAAGTTTAATAAATGTATAAGTTTCTCTAACAATATTATAGTGATGCATTGGCACACGGGTGTGAGGGTATCCTGTTTTGAGTGTTTATTTTTGTTTTGTAAAGGATAATTTGTTCTAACAAAAGTCAATTTTTAAATGTAGATTTACATGAAAGATAAATTGGGGGTAATTATTCACTTTGGTCAAGTTATATGTGCTCATATGATTTACACTAGATCTGTTTAAATAGGAAGTTTTTCTCTATTAGTCTTTCCCTCACTTATATGTAAATATCATTTCTTCCCAGCTTACTTTGCATCTACAAGTATTTTAGAATGTATTAGCACTTGTTGTTAGGTGCTGTCAAGTCGGTTCCAACCTACAGCGACCCTGTGTACAACTGAATGGAACACTGCCTGGTCTTGCGCCATCTTCACAATCTTTGCTATGCTTAAGACCATTGTTGCAGCCACTGTGTCAGTCCATCTCATTGAGGGTCTTCCTCTTTTTCACTGACCCTCCACTTTACCAAGCACGATGTGCTTCTCCAGAGAGTGGTCCCTCCTGATAACGTGTCCAAAGTACATGACATGAACTCTTGCCATCCTTGCTTCCAGGGAGCATTCTGGCTATACCTCTTCCAAGACAGGTTAGTTTGTTCTTCTGGCAGTCCGTGGTATATTCAGTATTCTTCTCCAATGTCATAATTCAAATGCATCAATTCTTCTTCAGTCTTCCTTATTCGTTGTCCAGCTTTCACATGAATATGAGGTGATTGAAAATACCATGGCTTGGGTCAGATGTACCTTAGTCCTCAAAGTGACATCCTTGCTTTTCAACACTTTAAAGAGGTTTTTTGCAGCCGATGTTCCCAATGCAATGCATAGTTTGATTTCTTGACTGCTGCTTCCATGGGCATTGATTGTGGATCCAAATAAAATTAAATCCTTGACAACTTCTGTATTTCCTCCGTTTATCATGATGTTGCTTATTTGTCCAGTTGTGAGGATTTTTGTTTTCTTTATGTTGAGGTATAAGCCATACTGAAGGCTGTAGTCTTTTATCTTTGTCAGTAAGTGCTTTAAGTCCTCTTCACTTTCAGTAGGCAAGGTTGTGTCATCTGCATAACATAGGTTGTTCATGAGTCTTCCTCCCATCCTGATGCCCTGTTCTTCTTCATATAGTCCAGCTTTTTGGATTATTTGCTCAACATACAGATTGAATACGTATGATGAAAGGATACAATCCTGATGCACACCTCTCCTGATTTTAAACCATGAGGTATCCCCTTGTTCTGTTCGAACGACTGGTCTTCTCTTGGTCTGTGTACAGGTTCCTCATGAGCACAATTAAGTGTTCTGGAATTTCCATTCTTCACAATGTTATCCATAATTTGTTATGACCCACACAGTCGAATTCCTTTGCATAGTCAATAAAACACAGGTAAACATCTTTCTGGTATTCTCTGCTTTCAGCCAAGATCCATC